CTACCAGGAACAAGCTAAACATCTATGTAATACATTTATGTCCAAAAAATATGAGAAGAGCATATTAGATAGAGAAGTGAAAAGAGTTGGAGAACTGGATAGAAGGGATCTAATAAGAAAGAAAAAAAGAGGTAAAGGAAATGGGAAAAAATTTAAATATGCTTTCATTACTCAGTATAACACCCAACATCGAAATATTAAAAATATTCTAAACAAACATTGGGGAATTTTGCTAAAAGAACCGATTTTATGGGGAGTATTGCCTAAGAAGCCACCTATGATTTTTAGAAAAGCAAAGAATCTAAAGAGCATATTGGCTCCAAGCTATGCTTTGAAAAATAAATATGAAAACACTAAAAGTGAAGCTAAAGGCTTTAGTTCATGTAACCAATGCAAAGCTTGTATAACACAAAGTCTTTTAAATGTAAAGAACTTTAAAAGCTATGTTACTGGCAGAGAATTTTATATTAAAACTAATATCAATTGTAATAGCAAGAATGTTGTGTACTTGCTACATTGTCCCTGTGGGAAACAATATGTGGGACGTACATGTAGAAAACTTAAAGAACGTATCTTACAACATAAAAAAAAAATCCGAAAAAAATATGACAAACACTCAGTCCCCATGCATTGTAATTCATGTGTTAATTTTAGCTGGAAACATTTCCACTATGTAGGTTTGGAAAAAATTAGTAATCATTGGAGGGGTGGTAATCTTAAACTAGCACAGCGAGAAACGTATTGGATAAATGTATTGAAAACCTTACAACCAGGAGGATTAAATGCAGACATTGATCTGTGGTGCTTTTTGGAATAATCACTCCTTCCTTTTCTGCTCCTTATTTTCTTTTTCTCTGTCTTTTATACATTATGTATATTTTATTTATGTATATAAATTTGCATGTTTTTTCTACAATGATAGTGAACAAGCCAAGAGAAAGTTCATTTTTTCTGTAAAATATAGCCCCTAAAGGAGACATATATATTTTATTTAGTCTCCTAGGGGTATTGGGTATGTCCTAATTTACAATTTTTAGTCTTTGATAGGTATTTGTATAATTAAAAGGAGACATATATTTTTTTTTATATATTTTTATTTTAATACATCAAATCTGTTAACTTTTTTAGAATTTTGTATGATGTTTTTTATCCCTAATGGATCTAGTTCGAGCATCTTAGCTTGTACATATTATCATATGCAGTGTGTCATTAAACAGACAAACATGCATATAAGTATGTATCCATTTATGTTTCATCTTGGATGGTGTGTGTGTTTTTTTTTGTTTTTGTCAATAAAGCTTGTTTATGTTACTCTGGATTTGTGACTCCTTTTAACTATTTTGTTACCACCCCTTGTATATACCCCACCCATATTTCCACCTAGAAACAGCTTTTTGTGGACTCTATGCAAACATCTCAGCTTGCCACTATAATTGCTAATAAAAACAAAGGTGGAACGCATATCTGGAACGCATGACGTCATCAAGCATGTCACGTGACGACGTTGAGCGCCCGGAACCCGGAAGTGACTTGAATTGAACCAACAACAGCTGAAAGAAGACGGAACCACCTGTGGAATAACTATTGGGTTTAAGTATTGTATGCATTTTTATCCAGCATTTTGTAAAAGATTGTCCCTGAGGAAGTCCCTGACAGAGACGAAATGCGTTGGACTACTTGTGACGAGACCAATCTCGCCACATTGCATTGGAGAAGCCTGGTTGCTCGCCTGCTGCCTTTGGATTATGGCCCCCATGTTAAAAGTCTTTGTTTCGCCTGCAGAAAAGCTGTATTTGTGCTTTTCTGCCGGTTGTTCGGTAGATTTAATCTACCGAACAACCGCACAAATGAATAGACCACCTGGGAGTTGGAGTGTGCCGGCAATTAACCTCCCTGAAGCTGCGGTTAACCGCAGCTTAATTGACAATTACTGGGTGGTCGCGGTTACACCTAGCCGCCACACGATGGCGGTGTTATGGAAGCTCCCCAGGTAGCCAGCGCTTGTTCTACCCAGCGGCAGGACACCAAAAGCGGACACTTTTGTCTTACAAGCCCCGCTGAGGCTGGAAGTCTGCAAACCCGTTCGGGAACCGAACAACGGAGCATTCGGGACTCTAGTGCTGCAATTGTATTCGGTGTGCAAGTACCCAGATGCCTGCCTGCCATGGAGCCTGTTCGTGGAATTAAAGACTTTGGCTCCATGGCGATTAAACTGTATTCGTGTGGTCTGAGCGCCATTCACTTAATAATGTGCGCTCAGACCTGAGCTATCTGGGGATATGTTAAATGTATAGTTTTAATGTAATGTGTCTTACCTGGTGTATTTTAACAGTAATGCTTGTTTTAGTATCCCCATGTGCATAATGGAGATTTGCCTTTGTCTTGCGAGATAATTGAATTACTTCACAATTATCTCCCAGAGCAGAGGGGAGGAAGCCAGGATGCATTGTGGGAATATACTGTGACTGTGTGTCCTATTTGTCTGCTTGTCTGTCCCTTGTCACAGTCTCCCATTTGGTCCCCTAGGGGAGTGTCCACCAGGTGGGAGACCTGCATAAATACTGGGCAGGTAGCCCTCATTAAACAGACCACTGCTTGACCCTCAACACAGAGCCTTGTCTCGTTCTTGGGGGGATTCACTGTATGCTGTTAGAGACTGATTGCCAGGAGTGTAAGCTAATTGTCTACTTTTCCTGTTCGTCTGCTAGCAGCTATTTGGGAGGTTCCAGTTCGGGAGTTGGAGTGCTATTTTGTATCCAGTTTGGGAGTTTGGTGTTCTGCAGTAGCTGTGCCTGCATCTCTGGAAATGGTTTTTACCCCTTGTGTGCAAAACGGTCCGTTACACTACTATTGAACATATTTTTCATCACCTGCTTTGATGTAAGTAATAAATGCTGCTTTTTGTACTTTATCTACTCAGTTACTTCATTATTTTCTGGCATTTTTCTATCTTTTGTATGAGATTATCATCTATTCAGCATTGAAGCAAGAAGACACACACCCATATATTTCTGGAGGCACTTTTTTGATGTCAAAGTGTGAGTGATGGCACTTAATTTTATATCCAGTATTATTATACACAGTGTTGCACTATGTTATATTTTTGCTTCCCTAGCTGGAATAGCCCTATACTATACATGTGTTGAATTGAAGATAGGAGGAGATCTTCAGGCATATCCTATGCTATTGAGGGAAGTTGCTAATATTTATATTGTCCACTATAATCACTTTTTGGGAGAAACAGTGTTATTGCATATGGACACCAGAAACACTTTTTGTAAATGTGTGAGTTTGTGAGAGATACTATTTTATCAAATTGTTGTATTTCTCCTCATCCTTTCTTTCACATTACTTACTCAATATGATAGTGGTTGTAAAAGGCAGGAATGGAGTCCACCACACCAGGTAACACTCAAGGTGCAGACTGTGCAAAGAGGCCTTTGAGACAGTCCAGCACCTAGTAGCAAGATGTTAGCAGGAACAGTATAAACGGAGACCCACAACCATGTTGCTGGGATTGTGTACTGAAACATCTGCACAGAATATGGATTGGACCTGCTGGGAGATGGGAGATGTCACAAAGGGTAGTTGGGAATGACAGGGCTAAGGTCCTATGGGATTTCAAGATACAGACAGACAGACAAGGTCTCACCAAGTGCTCACCAACCAACCCAACATTGTGGTGGTAGACAAGGAATGGAAGACTGCAGTCATGGTGGATGTGGCAATACCCAGTGTAATAAACGTTTAACTCGCAAGTTGGAATAAACTTGGAATTAATAATAACATTAATAACTAAAAATAATAACTTAAAAACTGAGTGTAAAGTCAGAGTCCACACTCCTTGCTTTCGGCAATCCAATAATATTTATTAATAAAGGCTTAATCAAACAAATAAACAATACATATACATTTGAAATAGGCTAGTATATGTTGCTACTAAAACTAATCATTGACTGAATGGAAAGTAGGCTAAATTATCATAGTAAAACAGGCATAGACACGTGATACAGTTACCACTCCATTGATCAGCAGCTGAGAGTAAGAGAGAGAGGGTGTGTATAGTGGGGAGAGGGGAGAGAGGAGAGAAGGTGAAGAGAGGTAATTCAAAGAGAGAGAAAATGTGCTATTCACAAGGCTTTAAACAGGTTAGCCCCTCCTTCTGCTGGACACACCTCCCTTAGTCAATCCCTTAGGATGTAACAGAACCAGAGTGCCTCCTGGGGGAAGGGGTATTGCATTGGAAGGGAATGGAGGAGGAGTTTATCAACAAACCAACTGATTTTGCCTGGTGAAAGGCCATGTGCTTCACAGAGGACTCCATTATTGCCTAAGGGTAGAATGGGGGCTTGAATCCCTGTATTAGAACACAATAACACTTCATTGGCATACAGTTTGGCTGTTAATCACATCCCCCCACTTATTACATCCCTCCTATTGGCAATGAAGTGGATGAGACACTTAGACTCTATAAAACCCACCAGAGATAAGAGAGAGAGATAATGCATCCTGCAGTGTATCTACTTATGTGAATGCACAACCCATTGTCACAATAGAGCTCTTTCCATTTACATATCATATTGGAGATGATATACTCTAACAATCAATGACTTCAAGTAACAACACATACCAACCTGATTAAAAATGCATACTATAGAAAACACACAATACAATAATAAATGGGTGAATTAATACATTTTCCATGGCAGTACCCCATGATGATTGGTTTCGGAAGTGAGTTTTTTTTTTTTTATTTCTTCCACCAGGTAGTACTAGCCATGTCAGTAAATAAATGTTCAGTTAGTTAAAGTTCTTGTTGTTGATGAAAGAACTCAGCACAGGTTTGTTGATCCTTCTGTGTCCAATCCTCCATTAAAGTATTGATAGTTCTCTGAATTTAATACCCTCAGACTGGAGTGTTGCAGTCATACTATATATATCAATTATATTTACAAAACCCAACCCAGTACCCACACCTCCCAGAACCGTACCCAAGACAACCCTCCTATTCCTAGTTCTACTTCTTGTCACCCATCTGACTAAAACCTTATTAATAGTGGATGTGACCCTAGAACAGTTCTGAAAGTGTGATGAAACTAGCCAATCTGTTAATCGAATCAATTGGAAAGTAACATTCCTAACTATAGGGGTAGGTCTCAGTGAACATATTTGGAAATTACCACTAGAGACCACTCTAATCTCCTGACACTCAGGTCTGCTCCCATTATCCATTAGTGAAGGAGTTGTGTGAATATAGGTGAAAGGAGGAGTCAGGATTGTAGGCTCTATCTCTTCCTCTACATTCAACAAAACCTTCACTTCCCCACCCTTATTGTGTCCTACTGTTCCCCAATTTATCCCCTTTATGATTAATCTATCCACTATAATTAGTGTTATATGATACTCTCTAAGATTGCTGTTAACATTATAACTAGGGTTAGTAACATTTCATAACATTTCATTTCATATTAATATTTCCTCCCTCCAGATCTACAACCAATTTTCCCAACCAGTCCATATTCATTCCCATTTTCCCCAACCAGTCCATATACATTCCCAATGTTCTTAATTTCCCTTATTGTCTTTTCCAAAATCCCTTGAAAGAATCACGTTGCTTTAGCCAAACAATCTTGACCGCCCACCCAAAATTAAATGTCACAGCTACATATGGAACTTGTAGATTGTCACTGCTGTCCTCTGTTAAGTCTTTGGCACTGCATTTGCATAGATACAGCTGTTGTTGCTTTGGCTTGTGACAAGCTGTTCCATCACTTTCCAGGTGAGTTTTAGCATGTTGAGTGACATCCATGTCTCGGTACTTTTGGAAAAATCTGTAAGAGATCAAGAAGGCGTATCAGTTCTTAGCAGATAACTCTGTACCTGGGGAACAAGCCCCTTTGTATAATTTACGTTGGTCTACATGGACTGACTTATAGGATTACATAGGGCTCTTCCCAATTTGCATCCCAGGGATAATTTTGATAAAATGTTTAATCTTTATTACGCCTACCCCCCCTTTCTCAAACAGAGTTTGAGGAGTAGATACAATTTTACAATTTGTTGGGGCCATATATGAGACCCCCCTTGGACAGTGTAAGTGCACCTATGAAATCATTCTGTATTGACTTCCAGGGGCTGTCTGCAACTGGCACTCTCTGATGCATAGGCCTTTGTTGCTTAGGGCATGGATATAATTTAACATAACAACCCTTCTTTTATAGAATAACCACTTGAAGTGTTTGATGGTTCTGTAATAAAAGAGAAAGATTAGGATTCCTATTCAGTTCTGCTTTTAAATCTGGCACTTCTGAACCTTCATCAACAATCTTGGCTATCAGTAATTAGTTCTTTGCATGTGAAGTGCTCCTCCCATGCTTGTTGTACCTCAGGGTCTTTTACATGTAAATGCCGTTGATCTCCATCTAAGACAGTCTCCTTTGCTAACAAATTCAATCCTACCTTTGACTGAGTGTTTACTGCTGACTGGATGGGGTGCTTTAGTCCCCATTCAACCAGTTTCCCAAGATTCCATAGGGACAGAGAGTTTGATCTGGTGGCATAAGCAATGTCACTATGGATACAAATAGGGCGTGTGCCAAATTCCTTTGAAAAAATTACAAGTCCCCCCAAAAAAAAAACTTCTTCAAGGATTGCTTGTTAAAAGGTCTGGGGACTTGTAAGATTGCTATCACTCTTTAATTGGGCAGCTGTGATAGCTACTCCCAAAAATTTTACCTTTTGTGTGAGCAACCTTTGAAGTGTTTAGCTTGACTCCAGCATTATGCAATTAAGTAAAAAAAAAAAATTCCATTAATAAATTCATATGTTATTGTTTTGCCCCAGAAGGGAGACTTAGTGATAGGTCAGTAAGTCTCACTGAAGCTCCTGTGTTAGTCCAATTCTTAGTCTGTTGCCTTGCCATAATTTCATTCACGTAAGGGCGTCCTGCATGGTCCATAAATGTGTTACAAATAGGAACCATGCCATCCAGTTATAGTTATTCCAAAAATGAAATCAGAGGAACTTCACCCTCTTCATTCATTTTAGAATTGCTAGTCACTGTTCCCTGTACAGTCATCACTCTCAGAGCCTCCCGCGCAGGACCGTATAGATTGGTCTTAGGCAGGGGGTGAGAATGGCGTCCCTGACCTGTTTTATCCGGGGGTTTATTTCGGTCAATCTTTTCATATATATTTTGATCTATTCTTTCTTTGAAAGGCCCAAAGGGATAAGCATGCCGTCCCTCAGTCATCCTTTGATCTATCTTTGCCTTTCTACAATCTTTTTGTCTATGACCACTTTTGTTACAATAATAACAAGTACCTCTGAATGGAATCTCTGGGAGAGCTTGCCTCCCTTCATTAGTAGCCATAATTGCCACCTTGTGGTGTAATGTAACACCTTTCCTAATAAAATTTTGTCTAGCTTTTCCTATAATAGTTAGAACTCCTTCCAGAGTGTCTTTTTCCTCTGCTATCATTTGCACTCCGGGATCTAAATAAGTGAATTTTTTTATCAGGTATTGCAGTAAATCAGGAGGGGTTTGGTCTTGTGGTATACGGTGGGTTAATCTGTACACTTGTTCAAATTTAGATGCAAAAAGCCAAGGATCATCCTGTAAGTGTACCTTCATTTCAGCGAGTGAATGACTGTCTAAATCTCTTTCTCCGGTAATCAATTTGGAGATTGCTCTAAGCCTGTCTCCTTCTGTCCCCCATTTGTCTTCTTTGAACCAGTCTTGATCCCGATTAATGGGCCCATTTATGGGGGAATTTAATCTGCATGCAATGCTGCTTGGTGCCCACATTTTAAGCATAATACATGCCTCTTTAGGAGAGAGCATATATTGTTTGACTGCAGATTCAAAGTTGGACATGTTTGAAATTACATCTATTTTGCAGTCATATGGGGGGAAAAGGGATCTTAACTTAACAAGCTGTTTCATTACTTTATCCCTATCTTGCTGCTGTAGAATTTTAGCAGTCTGCAGGGTGGCAGATGCCCTGCTTTTAACAGTCGGTGTAATGGACAAAGGATCCCTAAAAGGTGATGCTGTTGGTTTAGTTATATGAGGGGTTAATACCGGAATACCACTAATATCAAACCCATCCAGTACAAGGTTTCCCCTGTTTACCCCTTGGTCCTCATTTTCTGCAATACCAGATGCCTCTTCTTCCTCTGCACACATATCCCCATGGCCACATACAGCAACTGGGGTTTGTGCAGCTAAACCTGTTCTAAGCGATGAAATTAGCTCTCCTCTCGCTTCATAATTGTCCTCTAATGTACTTACATATTCTGCATTTAAGCCACAAGTTGGACAATCACTATATTTCTGAGTACTACTTTGTATACAAGCCACAGTAGTGTGCCCCAGAAGTATCCGATTTAACTGATTTCTTAAGAACATCAACAATTTCATGCAATTTTGGATTTTCTGTTTATCCTTATTCAAACACCATTTTTTATTATCTACTCTCATGTTCTCTTTTTCGCATTGTAACCACATGCTATGCATTTTCTTAAATTCATTTTCATTTTCAAACATTAGTGGATCAAAACTGCTAGATGCTGCATACTCTGCTACAATTTCCATTCTTAAAATAAAGTCAAAAGTACTTACACGATTTGTGTCTTCAGACTGCAGGCAAATCAAATGGTGTGCACCCCACTTTGAATCCTTGGTCTGGCTATCTCCGATCCTCCAGAAGTGATGGCTGGCTTACAAACTGCATCTCACTCTGGTTGCCTCTGTAGGATCCCGCACGTCCTGGCCCTGGACGTATTGCCGAAAACGCTCACAAAAAATAAAACAAAAATTGGTTCGGTTATTTTGTCCCCTTTTATAGCTCACATGTATCTGGAGAAGACTGGATTGTTCCCCCCTTGCAAGTGAGCTTAAAAGGTGGTAGAAAATAATAACATGGCTCGCCAAATGTAATAAACGTTTAACTCACAAGTTGGAATAAACTTGGAATTAATAATAACATTAATAACTAAAAATAATAACTTAAAATAATAACTTAAAAACCGAGTGTAAAGTCAGAGTCCACACTCCTTGCTTTCGGCAATCCAATAATATTTATTAATAAAGGCTTAATCAAACAAATAAACAATACATATACATTTGAAATAGGCTAGTATATGTTGCTACTAAAACTAATCATTGACTGAATGGAAAGTAGGCTAAATTATCATAGTAAAACAGGCATAGACACGTGATACAGTTACCACTCCATTGATCAGCAGCTGAGAGTAAGAGAGAGAGGGTGTGTATAGTGGGGAGAGGGGAGAGAGGAGAGAGAAGGTGAAGAGAGGTAATTCAAAGAGAGAGAGAATGTGCTATTCACAAGGCTTTAAACAGGTTAGCCCCTCCTTCTGCTGGACACACCTCCCTTAGTCAATCCCTTAGGATGTAACAGAACCAGAGTGCCTCCTGGGGGAAGGGGTATTGCATTGGAAGGGAATGGAGGAGGAGTTTATCAACAAACCAACTGATTTTGCCTGGTGAAAGGCCATGTGCTACACAGAGGACTCCATTATTGCCTAAGGGTAGAATGGGGGCTTGAATCCCTGTATTAGAACACAATAACACTTCATTGGCATACAGTTTGGCTGTTAATCACATCCCCCCACTTATTACACCCAGTGACCATAACATCAGGAACAAGGAATATGAGAAGGTGGAGAAATACCAAGGACTGAAAGAAGAGCTAGAAAGGATGGGGAAAGTGAAAGCAGTAGTAGTCCCAGTTGTGATATGAGCACTGGGGGCTGTGACTCCTAAGTTGGGGAAGTGCCTTCAACAGATTCCAGAAGAGTGCAGTTCTAGGAACAGCTAAGATCCTGCGCAGAACCCTCAAACTCTTAGGCCTCTGCTAGAGGACCCGAGAATGAAGAATAAAGATCCCACCAGTAGGGGTGAGAAATAATAATAATAATAATAATAATAAAAAATGTATATATTTACAAAAATAGATTAACCTCTCACACTCCAACTGTGCCTCAGGGGATATGGATACAAGAGTATCACTTGCAATATAGTTATGCTATTTCAAAAGAAGAACGTTTCTATTAACTTCATATTCTAACATATGTTACTGTCCTAGCCTCATAGTCTGAATCTTTGGATTCACAAAATAAATCGGATGAAGAAAGCCTAGAGTGCCGGTATTATTTTGTTTTTTCTGTATTGCTGTGACTTGGCACCAGGTATTTAATAAAAAAATTTCAGTTGGAGTGCAAGAGGTTAATCTATTTTTGTATATGTGGGTTCATCTCAGGGAACCCTCTCTATGCACCCACTCACATAATTATATAATATCCCCTTAAATGCAAGGATTTGATCAAACATTGGGACACTGCTAGTACAATTTTTGTATTGTTTTTTAATTTTTAAAGATAAAGTTACCATTTTTCCTATTTTTTGTATTTTAATGCATACCAATATGCATTTTTTAAAAGTGGATAACTTTTTAAATGTACCTTGTTGAGAGAGGAAAGAAATTTATCCAAAGATAAATATATATTTTTTGACAATATAGATAATTTTATGCAAGAATCTGGAGCATATGCAACACAAGCTGATACTCTCCAATTCACTAACGAGCAAGCCGAGGAGATATTATGGAATTCCACCAGTTTATCTCTCCCCACCACAACCACTTTACGTGACATATTCTTTAAATTTCTTAAATTGAAAAAGAAGGAAGTAGATCTGGATCTACATGGCCTCTTCTTATCTGATTACCATAGAGCTAAGCAAATACCAAGAGGCTTCTGGGTACATAATATACCAACCATCGGCAGAACCAAATCAAGGGTGTGTAAAGATTGGACGTCAGTACTGAACAAGTGTTCACTTGATTTAATGTTAATAACAATACAAGACATGAAAGAAGATCTAATGGAAGTCCGGCAGAAGATCCAGCAACTTGAAAACGAACAAGCAATACTTCTTAACTCTTACACAGCTGCGGCCGAGGTGGAGGTACTAACAAACGGTTGCCATGGAACTGTGATGTAGCCGCAGAGAAATGATTGGCCACAGCTACTCCCCGATGTGGGAGTGGTTCACTGAAAAGCAGACATGTGCATATGTGCTAAGAGCGCGCCAGGCATCAGAGGTGATGTGATACAGCTGATTTGGTGAGTGAGCATTGGTTAATGTGTCCTTTATATGTTTGTCATTTTGATGTATGTTATTTCATGTGTCCTGATGAAAGCTCGGACCGGGAGCTGAAACATTGACATCTTTGGATTCACAAAATAAATAGGATGAAGAAAGCCTAGAGTGCCGATATTATTTTGTTTTTTATATATATAGGCAATTTTGCCTGGATTTGTGGGAGGTTCTTGGTATCCACTCCTAGCCTACTTAAGGCACACCCCTTACCTTGCTCCTTACCGTTCGAGGTCAGCGTTGAATAAGGATCCACTTCCGGGTTCTCTCAGACACCATCTTGGTTTTTCAGTATCCACAAGGTTTTTCCGCGGCAAGCTGTGTCCAGGAATCCTGTTTCAGGCTTTTTCCGTCTGTCCAGCTTCTTCTGACCCCGGTCATCATCGTAGATCGCGTCCCAGGAACTCCTAAACCATATGTTGTACCTGTCACGCCAGGATCGGTTCCCACGGCGTACGGTACAGCACGGGTCCTCGCTTTACTTTTTTTCCCTGTTATGTCACAAATTGAACAAGCCGTTCGCGGTTTTTCATTTCGTAAAGTCATTCGGCTAATCAGTATATTCGTATACGAGGTCATTTCGCATATAACTATTCCGTGTTACAGTGAAACAGGTTATCATTTCAGTTGTTTTGCCGTTCGGCACTTTTTCATGATACGCTTAAACACGCTTGCAGTTCGCATAAAATTCATACGTTTAAACTATTTGTTCCAACTTCTGTTTTCCCTCACATTGGGTTTCGGTTTTATTTCTATGTATTACGCATAATCACCATAATTCACCATTTCATGTATATACCATTCGGGTAACAAATTGCTTGGTTAAATAGACAGATTATTTCCATTACTGTTTAAAGGTATCAGTATTGTATTATGTCCATACAAAACCAAGCTCACTTATCTGTATGGATCATTTTGACTCCCACGCTTTCAGGGGTCTGCCATACTTATCCATTCATTCAAATGGACTCAGCCTACATTACAGGCCTCATTTCTGTGTTATAACTACGACACATACATAAGGATACAGTTTCCTTTTACAAGCAATAAATTCTCGGGTTGAATCACGTACTGATCCAACCAATCATACGTCTTTTTCATTACAGATATATCATATGTATAACTTTACATCACTTTAAGGCATTTTTGTGTATCCCTGCCCCTTTTTTGTTATTCTATTACATATCATACATAACGCTGTTTAAATATAGGCCACGGCCTCCCTCACCCATGTTCTTTTCTACTTGACACCATCATACATTCCCCACTGTTGTATACAGAACTGTGCATAAAAGACACGGCATCACTTTGCCTTGGTAACACATTTCTACTCTCATGGTATATAACTACACTTCATTTACCAAGTAATATGCCAATCAAGCCTTAAAAAACATCACTAGTACGGGCTACACAGTCTACTTCATTCCCACAAAGTCCACACTCACTATACTACTCTTTTACCCATTTTCAGGCTGTCCAGGTTTAAATAGACATTTCACCACATGGTTTCCTGCCAGTACGATTTTGGTGGTTTTTCATACACTAATTAATTGTTTTGGTTATAGTATGTCTCAGGAAGGGGTAGAGGATTTCTCCCTGCCTAACACTCTGGCTAGAGCTATCACTCCTACAAAAGGAGGAGAGGTAAATAGTCCAGCATCGATCAGATCCTGGACAAGCCTCGTATAACTACCGAATTAAGGAGACGGCAAATTCCCTAACCCACTACAGCAAGGAAAGCAGAACTTTTCAAACTGCTACGCACCTCAACTAACAACATGGATCCGGGGGAAGGACCTAGCCAGTCCAACCCAGGAGACATACATTCCATGTTATCTTCACTCATGGCGTCCATGAGCAAGGTCAACTCCAGGTTGGAGAAACTTGAGTCGGTCGCCACGGCCCTTACTCTAGCAGGGCCACCCGCTGCTGCTTCACAAGCACCAGCCGACTTGCTATTGGTTCCTCCAGCCATCACCTCGGATGACCGGGAAGTTAGCCCTGCTCATATGATCCCTGAGCACATAAAAAGAGATATCCTGGAAGGTAAAGACATCAACCTAGCTTCCCTGCTGATTGCCTCCCAGGATATTGTGGAAAATAAGACTTATGCTTATGATGATGTGTCTGTTGTTGTCAGATCTA